AAAAAAAAAAAAAAAAAGAAAATATTCCAAAATTTGAATCCTGCACTCTCAAGCAAATGCTCTACCTGAACAGGATTTTCATATCAAAAATCTACTAAAATAACAATAAAAATTTGCAGCAAAGGTCTTATAATTCAAACTTTAAAAGGGATTAAAATTTGAAAATTAAGTTATTACATTTTTGAAGTAACATTACATTTTTGAAGTTAATGCCTTCTTATAAAAGGCCAATAGTTTGTATTTCTGTAAAAAGGTTTTGTTTTATAGGCTGAAGACTGACTCAGGGCCTCAATTATGCTAGGTGACTGCTCTACCATTGAGCTACATTCCTAGCCCAATAGTTTTAAACTTTTCAATAAAGTTAACCACCATTAAAAATCTCCTCAGTTGGGCTGGGCGCCCAGCAGCTCAGGCCTGTAATCCTAGCTACTCATGAGGCTGAGACCTGAGAATCGTAGTTCAAAGCCAGCCCGGGCAGGAAAGACCATGAGACTCTTATCTCCAATAAACCAAAACCGGAACTGGCACTGTGGCTCCAGTGGTAGAGCACTAGCCTTGAGCTGAAGAGCTGAGGGACAGCGCCCAGCTCCAGAGTTTAAGTTCCAGGTCCGACCAAAAAAAAAAAAAATTTCAGTTGAAACAAAAGAAGCAAGATACTAAATAAAAAAGGGTATAATCCAAACATAACATAGCTATCTAAGTTGCTCAAAGATATTTTCCATCATTAGAACTATTTTTATTAAGAGAAAAATAAAATTATTCTACTGAAATCGAGGTCTCTTAGAGTAGAAGTTAATGGGTTTGGGAAAGTTATTTACAATTTAGATCAGGAAGGAACAGAAAACATTTTTCAGGGACTCATAATACTCTATTTCCTATTCTGACAATAGTATTTTCACTTTGTAAGTATGAGTTCAAGTACTCTTGAATGTTTGTAGCTACTTTTTATGTGCATATATTTCAGATTTTAAGAAAAATTTTAAGATGGGGCTAGGAATGTAGCTTAGCGGTAGAGCAGTTGCCTAGCAAGCAGGAAGCCTTAAGTTCAATTCTCAGTATCACAAAAATAGAAAAAGCTAGAAGTGGGGCTGTGGCTCAAGGGGCAGAGTGCTAGCATAGAGCATAAGAAGCTCAGGGACATGCCCAGGCCCTCAGTAAAAGGGGGGGAGGGACCTGCAAAGGGACATTAAAATGAAAAAATTCTAAAATCATAAATGTCATATGTCATAATAGAAGCAGTGGTAAAATAAAATTTATGGAATAAATGTGCCCACCCCAACCTGAAATTCCATGGGCATTTGAAAGTATTCATGACTACCAGGAATAAACTTTAATAGTATCAATGACACAGGTGCTTACTGAAGTTGGAAACACTGCTGACAACCATGTAGACCAGAAAAAACTTAGACCAGGAAAACCTGTTAAAAATTTTTTCTCCATCTCTAGATTTCCCATATATAGCAGTTAATATCAAGAATTTTCAGCACATAACAAAATCATTTGTCAAAATACAGATTAGCCCCTCTATTTTCACTTACATCATAATTTTTCTTTGGCAGTACTGAGATTGAATTCAGTGCCTCATGCTTGCTAGGTAGAAAAGCTACCACTTGAACCTTACCCCAGCCCCTTTTAGTCTTTTTTGTTGTTGTTGGTTCTGGGGCTTGAATTCAGCCAGGTGCTGTCCCTGAGCTCTTCTTTTGCTCAAGGCTACCCACTCTACCACTGTGAGCAACAGCACCACTTCTGGTTAATTGGAAGTAAGAGTTTCACAGGCTTTCCTACATGGGCCAGCTCTGAACCAGGATCCTAAGATTTCAGGGCTTCTGAGTAGCTATAATTAACAGGAATGAGCCAACAGCACCAAACCCCTTTTAGTCTTAATTTAATAAGAATTAGCATGCTTCACATGTAATTATATAAATATATTTAAGCAAAATATGTTAATTTCCTAACTTGCAAAAACATAATCATGTTCTAAGACATAAAAGTAAATAAAGATACTAGGCTCTTCTCAAATTATATAAAACATTTTCATTCATTTTTTACAACTTTATAAAACAGGTGTAAGTATTAAGTAACATGTAAAATTTTATTTTGAAACTTAAAAAAATAATGTGAAAAAGTTTACCCTATCAGGTTTGTTTTGCTTGTTTCATTTATATTTTGCCAGTATCAGGGTTTGAACTCAGGGCTTCTAGCTCTTGCCAGTTTGCTTGTTGGCTGCTTTACCACATGAACCACACCTCCAAGGCAAGCTTTTTTGCTGGTTAATTGCAGACAGAGTGTCATGACTTTTCTGTCTGGGTTAGCTTGGAACCACATTCCTCTTGTGTCAGCCTTCTGAGTAACTAAAGTTAAACACATTAGCCATTGGTACCCACATGCTTTGTTTAGTTAAGTTCTCACTATGTCCCTCAGGCTGGCCTGAAACTTGAGATCCTCTCGCCTAAGCTTCCCCGATGCTAAAATCACAGGTACAAGCAGTGTCAAACTGCCCTATTAAATATTAAACATGCTAATTACTGCTCTTATTAGTTTCAAATTTTTAATTAGAGAAATATCTTTCATACCTATTTGCATATCTTAATGTATTAAGTGTATTTTCACAGGATGCCATTCCTGGAGAAATTGTAGCAATCTAAGAGAAAGAAAAAAAAGCAAATTTAAAATACCATAAATAATAGAGAAAATAAATATAACTAATAATAACTTTGGGCTTTATCTTACAAAGGTTATTTAAAATATTTATTAATAACAACTGATCTCTAATCAAATAATTATCAAATCTATTAAGAATATAAGCAACTCTGAAGACAATTAGAAAAGCATTAAAAGATTGGCAATACATGAAAGTAAACACATAAAGGAACAACCCTGACTGCCTCCTCTTACTTAATATTATTTTTATTTATTAATTTATTTTGCTGGTCCTGGGATCTGTACACAATACGATACAATATGCAACACCGCTAAATCTAAAAGAGATGATTTGTTTTTGGTGCTAGTACTGGGGCTTAAACTCAGGCCTACGTGCTGTCCCTTAGTTTTTTCGCTCAAGGAAAGCCTCTATCACTTGAGCAACATCTCCACTTTTAGCTGTTTGATGGTTAATTGGAGACTAAAGTCTCAAGGACTTTCTTGCCCCAGCTGGCTTCGAACTTCAATCCTCAGATCTCAGCCTCCTGAGTAGCTAGGTTTTATATTTCCATTTGCTGCTCATGTACCATGGAACAAAAAAAAGAAAAGTTCGGAATTAATGTCTGCTAAGCAAAACAAACCAATCTCCAGGAGAAAAAACAGAATCTCTACAATGTATTCATTTTACACACACACACACAAACATACACACACACATACACTCAGACAGTGGAATCAACACTGCAATATAATCCTTTCTATCAGTTTGGCAGGGACCATATCATTTTAAATATCACTATCTTTCACAATAAGAGGACTGAAACGATTAAAATTAATAGGGGGTTTAAATTTTCCAAATATTGTACAATACCTTCAGCATTAAAGAAACTAAAATCAAAAATGCACTTACCATGCAGGTACGCGAGTTTTCACCTATGAATGAATCCCTTAACACCTGAGTGAGTTTACTTGCTCGGAAAGGAGTATGAGGTTTATTTCTACCTAAGGCTCTGATGCACTCCTGAAAATTAAGAAAGCAGGTATTATAGGTTAGGCTTTCCCATCATTCCAAAACATGTATCTGAAAACTATGACTAGCATTCAAAAGTGAAAGGCAATAGAGAGACACTGTAAACTCCTAAATTTTAAAGTGGCATTCCAAAAAAAAAAAAAAAAAGAACATCTTATATTGTAATCCATCCACCCTTTGCTTTTCCAGTAAAGGAAAAAACAAAGTAAAGATAACTGGCCTCACTTTTGAAAGTCAATCCATACTGCTTTCTAATATATTATTTATTAGTTCAATTCTGTGGTTGTCTTCCTGAAGAAGTCATAACTGAGTATGGCTTTTTAGTATCTATCTAGGCAGCCTAAGAATAGGCCTGCAAACTCACCTATCCTCTATCCATCTAAAAAGAATGATGTGCATAAGGAAAAATTCTAGGTACAATATATAAAAGCTATAAACTCAAGTATAACTAGACTTTGAAAACACTTTTTTTTCAGTAGGTTAAAAGCAGCACTATTATTTTACATTAAACAAAATTAAAAGTCAACAGTATAAGACCTTTCACAAGTAAATACATTTTATTTACCTTGAGTGCTAAAAGGCTTTTATTAATTTCAGCACCTTCAAGCCTAGTTTGCCTATCTGCACTGGAAGTATCGGCTCCTCTTTCATTTCCAGCCAAATCAATGAGAGAGAACTTGCCATGTAGTTTTCCTTTCCTTCTGAGAATAATCTGAAACACTGCATGGCTCCGAGATGAATGTGCATTTGCAGATGTTTGACCAGATGTTCTACAAAGTGATTAAAGACATCCTGATATATATGAATTCTATGAATCATATTAACCATGGTACTCTCATTCAAAAAGCAACAACAAAAAACTCAGTTAAAATTTAACCAGTTTTAATTATTTAAATTCAAAAGAGACACTCTTAATGTAACTATTAAGGATAAGGAAATGTATATAATCTCCCATTCTTCCAATACATTCATACTGTTATTTATAGGCATCATCAAGTCACAACTTAACAAAAGACTTTATGAACAATAATTTTTGTGTATGTGCAAATCCTGAGCTTTAAACTCAGGGCCTGGGCACTGGTCCCTGAGCTTTTGTGGTCAAGGGTAAAACTCTACCACTTGAGCCACAGCTCTACTTAAGGTTTTTTTGATGATTAACTAGAGATAAAGGTCTAACAAACTTTCCTGTCAATGCCAGCTTTAAAAACAGTGATTCTCAGATCTCCAATCTTCTGAGTAGCTAGGATTATAGGTATGCGCTACTAGCAGCTGGCTGAACAATGTTTATTTCAAAATACATGGGAGAAAACTAGGGCTTCATTCTTATGTTATATCCACAGTTTCTTTAACTGAAATTTCCCTCTCTCTCGAGATTTACCTGCAGCTGTTGCCGATGTCAATAAGTTTCAGGACATCTTCCACACATTTGACCTCCCGTTCCTGTAATCCCACCACTTGAACCTGCTGTTTTCCATCTTCTAGTACTCTTAATTTTGTTTTCCTATTTAGCAAGTCAAATACCTATGAAAAACCATATTCAAATTAGAACTAGTTTAAGAAAAAAAGTCAGTTGTACAAAAATGGGTAAGAGTCTGAAATTGTTTGAGATGAAATGAGTGGTCATTATTACATTAGTGCTTGACATTAAGAGCTTCAAATGATTATTTCTTATCATTTGCCAGTCGTGGGGCTTGAACTCTAGGTGCTGTCCCTGAGCATCTTTATGTTCAAGGTTAGTGGTCTACCACTTGAGCCACATCTCCATCTGCGTCTTTTTCTGAGTAGTTTATTGGAGATAAGAGCCTCACAGACTTTCCTACCTGGGCTGTCAAATGATTTTTTTTTTAAATCTCAGGATAAACTCAGGATAAAATAATATTGCAAATACATATAAAATTTATAGTAGTGAAAATTGAAACCAATGTGAATATACTCAATGTTGCTGAACTGCACACCTGAAGATGTTTAAAATGTATATTTTAACCACCCCCATCCCTTTTGTGGAAGAGCCTCAAGCTGGCTAGCTAAGTGTGCAACCACTTAATCCATGTTCCTAGTACTTTTGGCTGAGCTAGCCTCCACTATGATCTACTTTAGCCTCCTGAATGGTTGAGATTACTGGGCATGCCTTATTTTGAGACAAGATCTCTGATGGCTTTGCTCAAGTTGGCCTAAGAATCATGATCCTTCTGTTTCTACCTCCAAAGTAGCAGGGATTATAGAAAAGTACAACCATGTCCAGCCCCTCCCCCCTTTTTCTTACAATTAAAAAAAAATAAAAATTGCTAAGTCTCCACATACCTTTCCACTATAGATTTCAAAGAAGGTTGCATATACTTGAAGTTCTAGTTTCTTATAATTTGGCTTCTTTATCATTAAAAAGACATCTCGAGCTACCAAAAAATTCACACAAACATTATTAAAATGCAACGAGCTATTTACTATTTTTAAATAGTTTAATTTTTCTAGTTTTAAAGGGAGCTAATTTTCACCTAGCATGACAGCATCAATTATAAAAATAACAACTATTCATTTGATTTAAAAAACTGCAACAGAAGTTACTCTGCTTTATGAAAGGTTCTTACTACTTATTCTTACAAATAGCATAAATAGGTGATCAAAATAAAGTCATTCCGTATCAAACAGAGGCTTTTAATTATTTTATTAAAAATTGTTGGGTGGGATGCCAGTGGCTCACATCTGTAATCCATGCTATTCAGGAAACTGAGATCTAGTTCAAAGCTGAGACCTGGTTCAAAGCCAGCCCAGAAAGGAAAATCCAATTAACCACCAGAAAGTCAGAAGTGGTGTGTTGTATCTTAAAGTGGTATAGCCTTGAGGAAAAGGAGCCAGGCCATACGAGTTCAAGCCCCACACTGACAAAAAGAAAAAAAAAAATGTTTTGGGATTTGAACTGACTAAACACTTGAGCCATACCCCACAGAAGTTTTTTTTTCTTTATGTTCCTGGAACTTTTAACTCTGGGCGCTGACCCTGGACTCCTTTTGCTAAAGGCTATCACTCTACCCACTTGAGCCACAGTGCCACTTGTGGTTTTTTCTTAGTAGTAGCAGTAAGAATCTCAAAGGACTTGCCTGCTCAGGATGGCTTCAAACCATGAACCTCAGATGTCAGCCTCCTGAGCAACTAAGATTACAGGCATGAGCCCAAAAGCTTTTCACAATGTAGCTATTCAATAATTTATACTGGCTTAATAATAATGTCATACAAGTATAATAAAAATTTTTGTCACCAAAAGGTAACTTTACAGTTATTTTGTAACAATCTGATAGCATACAAATTGAATATACAATGTGTATAGCCAGACAGTATTTTAAAGCTTTATTTCAAAACCACTCGACTAATCCAACAAATACTAAAAATTACATGCTAAAGGACATTTACCTGCTAATGCATAAATTCCTTTAGAACAATCCTGGTTCTTTCCTGAAAAGTCACCACCCATAGTCTACATTTGGGGGGAAAAAAGACGTTATGCAGGAATAAATCTTAAGAATTGAGGTCTTAGTATTTTATAGGGAAAAGAAGTTGGTACATCATACCAGGATACCAAGATGTAATTACTTACATGGGTTTTTCCACTTCCAGTTTGTCCATAGGCAAAGCATGTAGCCATTCCTCTTTCAAATATAGTTTCTACTAATGGCCTAGCGGTAAACCTTAAAAATAAAATGTGACTGTCATAAATATTTGTTAAGTAACAAAAATAATATCAAATAATGTAAAGTATCTTTTATTAATAATTAAAGCATATAGCAGGGTTTTTAAATCCACCTTTTTATTGTTATAGTAAAGGTGATGTACAGAGGTTACAATTACATAAGTCAGGTAATGAGTACATTTCTTTTTGAACCGTGTCACCTCTTCCTCATTTTCCCCTTCCAAACACTATCTCCCCAAGTTGTATAACCCATTGCCAATATAGTGTCTAGTGAGTATCACTGCTCCATCTGTTAACACTTTTTCCCACCATTTCTGTGCTTCTTCTTACCTTCTCCCCAAATAGATAAACTTACATATAAGACAAAGGGAAGATTTTAAATAATTATCTTTAAAGTACTTAAAGTTATTTAAATAATTTCAAATAATAATTCCATAAAAGAATGGTCATAGTAATAATGAAAATATGATATAAAATAAAGCAAGGTAATCTCAATAAAGAATAAAAAGGATAAAACTATAAAAATGTTATCTTAGACCTTAAGTAGGTAGAAAAACAACAATTACCTTGAATATAGATAAATCGCTTATACTTGGGGAAAAGGGAACAAAAGTTAAAACTAAAAGACAGTGAGTTCTGAGTTGAGGAATTGGTTTAAAAAAAAGATTGCCAAGCCAGGTACCAGTGGGTCACGCCTGTAATCCTAGCTACTCAGGAGGCTGAGATATGAGGATTGCGGTTCAAAGCCAGCCTGGGCAGGGAAGTCCATGAAACTCTTATCTCTTATCTTACCACCAGAAAACAGGAAGTAGCACTATGGCTCAAGTGGTAGAGTACAAGCTGAGGACACTGCAAAGATCAAGTCTTAGCCAAAAAGAATCCTAGCCGGGCTGGGAAGGTGGCTCAGTGATAGAGTGCTTGCCTTGCATGCCTGAGGCCCTGGGTTCGATTCCTCAGCACCACATAAGCTAAAAGAAAAAAGCCGGAGGTGGCACTGTGGCTCAAGTGGTAGAGTGCTAGCCTTGAGCTGAAGAGCTGAGGGACTGTGCCCAGGCCCAGAGTCAAGGCCTCATGACCGGACCCAAAAACAAAACAAAAAAAGAATCCTAGCCAAAAAAAAAAAAAAAACTGGGAAGGAGTAAGAAACACTCCTTCATAAAACAGAGTATTAAAAAGTATGCTAGAAAACAAATCTACAAATGGAACACCATATAGTTCTGCTAAGTTTTCTTTAATGTAAAATTGGAGAAGGTATAGAACAAAAAGCATAGGAGAAAGTTAGCAGTACTAGGAATGAACATGCAAAATGAGTAGCCCCCAAAATTGTATAGACTTCCTAAATCCATAAAAGTCAAGCACAATAGGGCAATTATTATAAAGATCAAAAAGACAGGCTTTAATGAGGATGGGACAGAAGGGAGTGAAGAGGAGGAAAAAAATGTTTTACAGAAAGCTAAAAAAAGTACAATTTATATGACAGGAGGAAAAAAATGTTTTACAGAAAGCTAAAAATTGTACAATTTATATGACAGGCACCAGTGGCTCACACTTGTAATCCTAACTACTCAGAAGATTAAGACCTGAGGATCACAATTCAAATCCAGCCCAGGTAGGAAGGTTATGAAACTCATATTTCCAACTAACCACAAAAAGCTGTTAAGTAGAGCTGTGACTAAAGTGATAAAGCCCTAGCCTTGAGCACACCAAAAGCTTAAGAGATAGCAGCCAGGTCCAGGAGTTCAAGCCCAGGGCCAGAAAAAAAAAAGTTTAATTTATAATACCCTTTAAAAATATTCTTCATGGGCTGGGAAGGTGACTCAGTGGTAGAGTGCTTGCCTTGCAATGCATGAGGCCCTGGGTTCGATTCCTCAGCACCACATAAGCAAAAAGAAAACAGCCGGAAGTGGCGCTGTGGCTCAAGTGATAGTGCGCTAGCCTTGAGCTGAAGAGCTGAGGGACAGCGCCCAGGCCCAGAGTTCAGGCCCCACAACCAGACCCCCCCCAAAAAAAAATTCTTCACAGTATCCCTATATATATACAGTATTCATATATTCTTTAATTATATTATTTTTTACAGATGAACACTCAGTTTACTTGCTAAAAATCAATGGTCTTCACATTTCCTTTGTAACACAATTACTAGGATTCTTATTAATTCTAAACTATTTAGAATTTACAAAATATGAGGGTAATAAAACATAACTTTCAAGCAATTACAAATTCAGTTTTATATAAAATAAAACAGCAATATGCACTGAAATCAATGTAAAATTCTTTAGAAATAAGTATGTTTAGAACTAGTGATATAGTTTAACTCAGTAGCAAGGTGCTTGCCTACTAAATCTAAGGCCCTGGGTCTGATCCTTAGTGCCATAAGAATATAGAAGGGGAAAAAAAAGCAGAAATGAGGAAGTTTGTAAAAAGTGATCTATGAAAATTAAACCCTGACATAAAAGTTTGCAATGTCTACATATTTAATACATGAAAGCTTAAATTTTGTAAGCCATAAACATAGGAATCTCAAGTATTAAAACCATACTCAGATTAAAGATGATAATCTAAAACTTTAAATTTTTATATTACATCCCATTCCATAGATTACATTAACATTTTCCAAGAATTTCTCATCCATGTGTATGTGTTAATTAACTGGCCCTGAAAACTATGATTTTTTTCTAAGTAAGAGAGCAAGTATTAATACTTATTTTTAATCTAGCACATTTTCTTCATTTAAATCCAGAAGAAAAAAAAACACACTACACTCCTGGAGAGCAGAAATAAGAACAAGGTGATGATCACACAGTATAAAAACAGCACTCTAATTTAGAACAAATTACCTACCTGTAAACCATTTCATTAGGAGCTGAGTCATCGAAGGCATAATCAAAACGAAATGTTTGGTTTTCTAAGTACCTTGTTAAATCTACTTTTTGTTTAGGTTCATGTACCATCACAACATCTTTACTAGGGATTGTGATCACATCAAGATCTTTCATTTGAGTTTCTAAAAGAACAAATGAAAATCAGTGCCCCGTATTTTTTCAAAGCATTTGAATACACAAAATTAATCTTAATAAGAATTTAGATCAAAGAAGTATAAAGATCTAAAACAAAATAGTTCATAAATATGCCATTCAATAAAGCAAACTATGTCAGACTAAAAAGCAAAACAACCAAGATTCATTTCTGGGAAACAAGAATCAAGAATGGCAATGCTTTAAAGAACAGTAACAACCCAACAGGGCTACCCTTGGAAATCTACCTAAGTTAATGCACAAATGAAAGGCAATGATTTACATTTAAGTTTCTAAGCCAATGTAAATTATGTAGTGATCAAAACATACTACTAATTACATGAAATTTTTAACTGGTTGGTTGTTTTTTTTTGAGACAATGTCTCATGACATAGCTCAGACTGGCACAAAACTGAAAAACAGCCTCACCCTCCTAAGTGTTGGTCTGTGCCAACTTGCTGTGCTTCAACTTTTTATAGAGCTTATTAATAAGCATTATACCTTTTTTATTGAGTGGTCGTTTTCTTACACAAACACATATTCTATGTTCATCAATCTAGAAATAAAAAAATTTTACTTCAGTAATTATCAAGAGTATGTAAAAAAATTTCTTCAGTTTCTAAAAATCTATGCATAGAACAAGTATGACAATTAAGCTTAAGAAATAATTAGCTTTGAACATACTTTAAAGGTTGTCAGACACAATTATTTCTAAACTGTAATAGAAATGTGCTAATTTTGGCTTAGGTAAGCCATTACCTTGGGAAATAATTATGTTAGAAAATAATTTTTGTACAAAGTCATATAGTACTTGAAATGCTATGCTGTATACAAAAAAATAAATAAAACTTTCTACTCTAGAAAGCGTTTTATATATATATATATATATATATATTCAGGTTGATTATCAGGAATGTTGTTGGCAAAATTACTATAGGTAAAATCCAGAACTCTCAGATTACTGAGCAAAATAGTTCGGAAAAATTTTAAAATTATAAATTATTTTCTGTGTGTGTGTGTGCCAGTACTGGTGCTTGAACTAAAGGCTTCACGATTTTTTTCAGCTTTTTCATGCATATCTGGTGCTCTGCCACTTACACCACTTCTCTAATCCATGGCAATTCTTATGTATAAATATTTTTTCATAAAAGTTATATTCTCAATGCAGCCTTCTTCAAATAAAAACATTACCATGAAGCTAAAATTAAAAGCCAAAATCTTTTACTATCATTACCAGACTCATTAAATTCTATTATATCCTATATAATACACCTAACACAAATGTACTTTGTAGCCAACATGTTTTATAAACTTGAGGTCATATGGATTACATTATTCAAAAAGCATTTTCTGTACAACTACTTCTCATTCCAATTTTTGTTTTTGGTTCCAGTACTGGAATTTGAACTTAGGGCCTAGCACTCTAAGTTGACTTTTTTGCTCGAGGCTGGTGTTCTACTACTGGAGCCACAGCTCCACCTCTGGCTTTTTTTGCTGGTTAGTTGGAAATAAGTTGAATGGACCATTCTCCCTTGGGCTGGCTTTGAACTGTGATCCTCAGAACTCAGTCTTCTGAGTAGCTAGAATTACTGCCATGAGACACCAGCACCCAGCCCAAATTCTCCTTTTTCAACAGCAAAAGAGTTGAAGACTGCAGACTGTCTTCAGCACTGTATTTCTGGTATATTGTAGATTTCAAGAACCATCCATCATCAAAGCCAGAATAATACATTTAAAAATAAAAAAGATGAATAATAAATCAGAGTGACAGTTGGATCAATAGTTTAAGCCAAAGAGGAAATGAGCTTAGAACTGAGATCAAACCTAAGTGGCAACTTGAAATGAACTGAGTCTTCTTAGATCACTCTATCTAAGTGACTCTAGAGTCCTCTAGAGTCTTAGATCTCTCTTAGATCTTCTCTGTCCTTCCAGAGACAGGAAAGCTTTGCATGCATCTCCCTGGGCAGCACTGCAGTATCTGAAATTATGGGAGATGAGAATACAAATAGATGATTTCTTGATTTTCTTCTTAAAATATAAGGAATGAGCCCTCATAAAGAAAGAAACATAGCTAAATACAATATTAATTTAGTAGACATCAACATTTTTTTTTTTTACAAAATAAGTAAGTAGTGCCAGTGCAATAGTTTACAAAGAATCTTACAGGATCTGCTGTCGTTAACGGTCTATAATCCAAACTTCCTCTAAAGTCTCTGATCATACACATAATTTCATAATTCGGGTTTGTAGCATCAACATCCTATCAGAAAAAAAAGAAAATTTACCAATTATAATAATATTACATGCTGTATTTACGTTGTATGTGTTTTGAAAATTGTAACTGAATTAGTGTCATTTGCCGTAACCTCTTCTTAAATTGAAACTGTGACAGTTTCAGAGTTCAGGTTTAATACATTCACAAGCACTTCCATATTAATAACTAATAATTAGTATCTTATTAATTACAAAAATCCCTTTTATCTCTTAACTATTTAAAACATCATCTACTATACCTATGCTTTATCTCAGAAAAGAAAGCAAAAGAGAAATAGCACTCATGTAAAAGACCACCAAAGAATTCTAGAGAAGTTGAAATTACAGAAAAATACAATCTAGATTTGCTGGGAAGGTGGCTCAGTGATAGAGTGCCATGCATGCATGAGGCCCTGGGTTCGATTCCTCAGCACCACATAAGCAGAAAAAGCCCAAAGTGGCACTGTGGCTCAAGTGGTATAGTGCTAGCCTTGAGCAAAAAGAAGCTCAGAGACAACACCCAGGCCCAGAGTTCAGGCCTCACTACTAAAAGAAAAAAATCTAGATTTAAATTTAATTACTTAGTGTTTTAGCAAATCAGAATATGGGTTCATTTATATTCACTTCCTACTTTTGTGGACTCAATAAAAACACAAAGGCAAAAACAAAACCTTAAGGTATGGCAAGACAGCCACATGTCAATAAGACAGAACTTAGAGGAATTAAGTCACATCATTTTTCACTTTTCAAATATCCAAATGACTTTTATGCTCTAAAATTAACAAAGTTGAGATTAAATTATAAATAATCATTAGCAGGTTCTCCTAGCCATGAACAATTAATTATTAAACATTTTTAAAAGTCAGATTTTTTTCATAAGTCATACTCAGATTTGCTTTAAATGTAAATATTAAATGTTACTGAAATTTTTCAGTTAACCTTCTAGGAAGTAATACCAACTATGTCAACTGAGAAGCAGAAAGTAAAATTAGATTAGAGATTACAAAGATGTTTAAATATTATCAAGTACCTAAAGGAAACACCAGGTGGCATCTATGCCAGTATCATTATCTATTTGTGTATTATTTATTTCAAAACTCTACTAGCTATCCTCTGGTGACTTAGCCATAAGCTGAGCTACTTAAGTTGAATATCATACTGGATCCTCAGTTCCACAACACAACAAGTGTAAAAGATTAAGGACATTTACATATGCTAAATAAACAACCTCATGTTTTAGTAAACAAGACAAATTCTGAGATTAAAATAGATACAAGCACATTGAAAGATTATAGACAAAGTAACATTCCTATCAAGGAGTAGAACAGTTTCCTATTCTTATCAAATAGCTTTGTACCATCTGAAGAAAATGAGAGGGACATAGAAAAGACCAATATCGCTCAATAAAAATCAAAACACAAGAATTTTCTTCCTTTTCACTATGCCATGATGAAATTACATACAGAAAACAATGCAACTTTATATACAATGGCCTATTATTCAAAAATCAAAAACTCTAGGGCTAATACACTAAAAAACATGAAAAATACATGAAATCTCTTATGGCAACATATTTTCAAGAGTTTATTTCGCAATTTTAACATAAAGAATTTGTTTTATTTCTTTTGTGTACTGCAATTTAAACTCAGGGATTCACACTTCTTTAGCTTGCTTGCTAAACTGGCAGACTACCACTTGAGTCACACTTCCAGCCTGGCCTTTTTAAATTATTTTGCAGATAGAACCTTGTGGCCTTTTCTGCCTGGGCTAATTTCAAACCAAGATCCTCTGAATTTCAGCCTCCTGTGTAGTTAGTTTCAGGTATGAACCACTGGTGCCCAGCTAATGTAACTAACTCTTCAAATTTATAAAATGAGTGATACCTCTCCACTGTTTTTTCACTGTAGCTTTCAATGACAGTCTCAAGAATCAAAGGTTAGGGGCTGGGAAGGTGGCTCAGTGGTAGAGCGCTTGCCTTGCATGCATGAGGCCCTGGGTTCGATTCCTCAACACCACATAAGCAAAAAGAAAAAAGCTGGAAGTGGCGCTGTGGCTCAAGTATTAGAGCGCTAGCCTTGAGCTGAAGAGCTGAGAGACAGCGCCCAGGCCCAGAGTTCAGGCCCCACGACGGGACCCAAAAAAAAAAGAATCATAGGTTAGAACCAGATGTTAATGGCTCAAGGGTATAATCCTAACTATACAGAAGACAGAAAAGTTTGAGGTCAGTCTAGTCAGAAAAGACCATCACACCCTTTCTCTATGAAGAGCTGGACATGGTAGGACACAGCTGTTAACCTAGCTACCAGGAAGCCTAATATAGATGAACACCACTTAAGTAAAGTCCTAGAGAAAGCCAGACCCTATCTCAAAAACAAACAGCAAAAGTCAGGGCTAGAGCACTAGCCTTGAGCAAAAAAGGAGCTCAGGGAAGGCGCCCAGGACCAGCAAAAAACGGGGGAAGGAGTGGGAAGCATGGCTCCATAGTATAAGTTCTGGTTAGGAAACACAGCCCTGATTCAAACACAATAGTGCAAAGAAATATAATAGTAATAAAATGTTTGTTTGGAAAGAAAACACACTGATATAACAAACCTGTGCTCTTTTTTCTCTAAGTTCTTGCTGCTGCAGTCTCCGTTTTTCACGTTTTTCTTGTAATTTTTCTACTTCTTTCACACAGTTAGATTTTCTACGGGCTGAAAGAAGAAAGATAAGCTGTTCAAGAAATATACTTTTTAGAGTAGTATACTCATACACAAAAATGTTATGAATAATTTCACCACATACACAAAGGTACACTGACAAAAAGCAAACATGCCTGTAACACCTATGTGAACTTTACGTATGAGCTGCTTTTACAAAACTAGGAATGGGACAATCTACAAATGAGTCAAGAAAAATGACTCAAACATACTGATACATGTTATCTCTTGGTTTAGAATCATAAATCTTAGAATTTGAAGGGTTGTTTTTTTTTTTCTGTAGCAACTGATAAATTATCACCTGGTCAAAATTTTAGTGACAAAAAAACTCACTTAGAACCTCACTTAGAATCTCACTTATAAAATTTGCTTTCCCAAAAATATACGTTAAAAATCTGAAGTAGCAGACTAAAGCATTAAGAACAAAATTAAATTTTCCACAGTGGTAAAGTGAAATTCAATTGGAGACTTAAAAGGATTACCAAGAGAGAAGACATGTATGCCTGAAATGACTAAATCTTTGATACATGATTTACATACAAGGGGGTCCAAATTCCTTTTTTGCAGCTTGAACTGGAGATATATCTGAAACACTACCATTCTGTTGTGCAGAAGATGACTGTTCAGGAAGCTGACTAGGACGTGCACGTGCAGAACCAACCACTGCAAGAAAAAAGAAAAAAAAAGGAAATTCAAATTCTGAACATAAAATTAACAAGAAATAAGAAATAACTTAAAATAACAGATACCTCAAAAATCTGATAATTACATGTCACTTTTTGAAAACTGCCAGTTTTCTAATGATGTGTATAAACAAAATATGAAATTTAATGAATTCTATTCAATGAACTGTTATACAGGTACATTTCCAAGGTACTATGCATACACTTAGCTTCTAATGTAATGTTAGATATAAAAGTCAACCTGAGTAGTTTACATACAACCAAACTAAACTTCAATTTTTACAGTCAATTAAAGGAATATGAAGCCAGGTGCGGGTGGCTCACATCTGTAACCCTAGCTACACCGGAGGCTGAGATCTGAGAATCATGGTTTGAAACCAGCCCAGGCAGACAAGTGCCCTTAACACTCCTATCTCCAATTAACCACCAGAAAACTGGAAATGGGGCTGTGGCTCAAACTGGTAGAGCATTAGCCTTGAGTAAAAGAGCTCAGGGACAGTGCCCAGGCTGAGTCCAAGCCCCACAACTGACAAAAAAATAAAAAATAATAATATAAAAAAAAGAATATGAATGTAAACTATTCCATATCTTAAGATTTTGCTCAGCAAGGACCTTTCTCTACAATATGTTTATGTACAATGTAAATTTTAAAAGCATTTTTTATATTGAGCTGAGACTGAACAAGATAACCAACTACGGAATGAAATCTATACTCTTCATTGTTTTTCTTACAACTCTAAGCCAGGGTATTAGAAGTCTACCTTTAATTCCTTTAGACTTCCATTTGGTTGAACTTTCAATTAAGGGGGAATATTTAAACATGAATTTGTCCCAGAGAATATAGTAAAGATTTTTTTAAATTTAATTTTATTTTATTTGTGAATATACTGTACAGAGGGGTTACAATTGCATGGGCAGGATAATGTGTACATTTCTTACCAAGCATTGCAGCCTCCTCCTTTGTTTACCCTTCACTTCACTTCCCAGCCTCCCCCCTCCTCTCCCTATAGTAAAGATTTTATATCTAAAAAGATCAGGCTGAGAATGTGGCTTAGTGGTAGAGTGCTTTAACATGCATGAAGTCCTGGGTTCAATTCTTCAGTATCACATAAAACAGAAAAAGCTGGCTGGGAAGATGGCTCAGTGGTAGAGCGCTTGCCTTGCATGCATGAGGCCCTAGGTTCGATTCCCCAGCACCACATAAGCAAAAAGAAAAAAAAAGCCGGAAGTGGCGCTGTGGCTCAAGTGTTAGAGCACTAGCCTTGAGCTTTAGAGCTGAGGGACAGCGCCCAGGCCCAAAGTTCAGGCCCCACAACCGGACCCAAAAAAAAAAAAAAAAAAAAAAAACAGAAAAAGCTGGAAGTGGAGTTGTGGCTAAAGTGGTAGAGTGCTAGCGTCGAGCAAAAGAAGCTCAAGGACAATGCCCCAGGACTGGCAAAAATTAAAAAAAAAAAAACAATCTCATTTTGAAAAATGTATACTATTAATATATACATAAAATAAAAATGTACAAATTCTTCCAACTATCCTTACTCTTTAAATTACAATTTTAAGCAGAGAATTTCCTCTACTGTAGATGTTTCAAACCTGGAAAAGGAAACTGAATAGCCAAATTTACTGTCTCTCAAAGGGTACTATTTAAAGGAAGGACTTCTGCCTCCATCTATGATCTCCTAATACTTTTGCCCACCCTGTCCCATCATTAATACACACAGAGAAAGTTAATTCCGAACTGATGAGCAGTTAGAAACTTATCCTAGCTGAAACAACTTCTGGCTTAAAAGTTAACAGTAATTTATACCAATTCAATTTTCTTTTTCCTGACTCCAAATCTAACCATTACACACTTTTTGGAAGTACTCTGGTTTAAAAAAAAAAAAAAGTTATGGTAAACCTTCTGATAACCAAATTTATCCTGCGAAATTAATCAGCTGACTTTTTTTCCAATTCTTTTTGTTCATAATACTCTTGAATTTTGCAAAATTAGCTGTGCACTGGTGGCTCATGATTGTAACCCTAGCTACTCAGGAGGCTAAGATCTGAGGACTGCAGTTCAAAGCTAGCCTGGGCAGGAAACTCCATGAGACTCTTAACTTCAGTTAACTTCAATTACCCACCAGAAAAACCAGTGGCACTGTGGCTCAAAGTGGCAGAGCACTAGCCTTGAGCAAAAGAGCTCAGGGACAACACCCACACCCAAGTTCAAGCCCAAGACTGGGGTTTAAAAAAAAAAACTGAGATGAATAAAAATTACATATTTCAGTTTATATTTATTAATCAATACACATTATGAAAAATTATTTTTAAATCCAGGTTCTGGTGGCTCAAACCTATAATCCTAGCTACTTAGGAGGCTAAGATCTAAATACTTTGGTTTGAAGCCAGCCTGGGTTGGCTTCCAATTAACGAGAAAACAAAAGGTACAATAGTGGTAAAGTATTTGCTGTGAGCAAAAATGTTAAGTGACAGCATCTAGCCCTGAGTTCAAGCTCTGGTACCAGCACCCAAAAAACTTTAGGGAAGATTAAGGGATAAAGTTGTACTTTACCTCTATTATCTCTTGGAGGAGGGTCATTCTTAACTGAAGCCACAGTCCGTCGATTCTATAGAAGAAAAACATATTCACTGTATTTTTTGACATGTATATATCATTATTTCAGATTCTTTTAATTAACAAAAAAATGGGCCAAAACACAGCAACACAAAATTAAATAGAGAAAAACAAGTAATCTAACGAATTACTGTTATCAGTATTAAGTTCCTGTATGAGATATATCAACCAATCTTCACTCCAAGACCAATATTCAGGAATTAATGAGCAAGGGATTGTTCTAAGGACACATAAATATCATTACATTTTACTTTTATATAACCCCATGAAGTCATTATTCTTGTTTTTCCCATTTCGGCCATGTGAAAACCGAGGTAATGAGAGGATATATAACTTCAGAACAGCTACACTGCCAAACAATGTATAAGTAATTATCTGATTTTTCGGTATTATATATTATATAAATATCTTTGGAATGGAACCTGAGTTTAAAATATAGACCCATTTGTGTTATATATCAGACAGCCTTAAGGTAATTTTTTCCTAGCATTAGGGATTGAATCCAAGCTTTAGGCATGCTAGGTAAGGGCTTTGCCACAAAGATGTATCCTATATACACAAAGGCAATTTGATGCCATAATGTTGGTACACCTTTATTCTGACTAAAATCTACCATAAAAGGTCAAGTATAGAAGTTTCTATTTGTAGCAACAAGCTGGTGCTTAAAACCTTTTAGATTTTAGTGTACTTTGGATTTTGAGGTTAGGTACTAAGTTTTATCTTTGAATATCAATGTAATTATACAATAGTTCTAGACAGAGTACAACCCCCTTATTAAAATATCTAAACATTGTCACACTAAAAGGTTTCACTGATAGTTTCAAAGATTTGGACAAAATAGATCAATGGAGCAAGTTTTAGGTCCTATTACTTATTTTCGAAGACAATTCACTTAAAAAAAAAAATCAAGGGGCTGGGAAAGTGGCTCAGTGGTAGAGTGCTTGCCTTGCATGCATGAGGGCCCTAGGTTTGATTCCTCAGCACCACAGAAGCAAAAAAGCCAGAAGCAGTGCCATGGCTCAAATGGTAGAGTGCTAGCCTTGAACTGAGGAGCTGAGGGACAGCACCCAGACCCAGAGTTCAGGCTCAACATCCAACAAAAAAATCAAATAACACAGTTATACTGAATCATGAGTACACATTCAAACAGGTGTCAAGGAAAGGATAGTGACACAACGACCTTCAGGAAAAAAATAAGTTAAAACTGAATTCTTGGGAGGAGCCCAGAAGTCAGTATTTAGAAAAATTCTTCAGGTGACTTTAATGCGAAGCAAGAGTTCCTGATGATATACCAAGAAAGACAGGGCTGGGGATGTAACTTATATGTGAGGTTAGGGAGATAAAATCGCACTCTCCAAGGTTTTGAAACTGAATATGAAAACAGTCCATTACAAGTGGCAACTACAGTGACTTTCAATATTAAGTCATATGAACTGAAAGTCTGTCTTATGTTTATATGAAGTTTACAAAGTAGAAGATTTTGTTAATACTCTCATTTCGTATTATTATGGATGTTTATGTATGTCTTCCCTACAAAATACCAAACTTTTTTAAACTAAAAAAGCCATATCATATTCTTTTTCATCAAGTTACATGTATTCATTCAACACATATAGATAAGAAAATGGCTGACTTTTTTCTTTTTGTATGTACTGGTATTGGGACTTCAACTCAGGATCTAAATGCTGTGTCTTTTTCGCTCAATGCTGATGCTCTACCACTTGAGCCACAACTTTACTTCAGGCTTTTGGGTGGATAATTGGAAATAGCCTCTTTCCTGCTTGGGCTGGCTTTGAACTAAGATCTCAGTCTTCTGAGTCACTAGGATTACAGGCAAAAGTTACTGACACCTGGACAACATCTCTATCTTCTACTTCAGGAAAAATTCTAACTAGGCAAGAAATTTCCATGATAAATCAGATGTCCTTAATTATGAATCATACAACTTGAATCAATCAAAGTTTGTATTTACATGAAGGTAGATGGAAGAAATTATTTTTTTAAAAGCAAACTGTTCAATACTTAGTATGCATTCTTTACCTAACAATTTCAAACCAGACCACTCTCCCTCCCCCCATCCCCCCTCACCCCCCACTCAAATATAATCTCTAAATTTTCTTTTTCTGACTTAAGTAGGTCAAGCTGGTCTCAAACTTTCATTTCTCCTGCTTCATCTTCCTTAGCTGGAATTACAGGTATGTACTGTCATGCATAGATCTCTGCTCTACATTTTTATCACTAACCTTTACAATTTTGTTTACTTTGGCTGAGGATGTTGGAGGTGGAGGTATTTCTGGACTGGGTTCAATTTCTTCATCAGGTACCAGGTCAGGGTTAAGTGAAAAGATGCTTTCCAGGTCAATCTGTTTAAAATATGGACATCTATTTTTAAGAGTATTCTTTTAATGAATGTAAAGAGAAAATAATTTCCAAGTACTTTCAACCTCATGAATGACACTGCTTTGAAAATTAAGATTTCAGAATGATAATTCACTATTTTTAAACAATTTCTCTTTCCAGCAAAAAAGGCAGTGATCTGTTACCCTACTTCTGCCCAAATAAAACGCTTTCAAGCAATAAAAAAAAAAACAAAAAATTCCCCTTTTGGGGGGGGGTTTCCAGTCATGGGGCCTGAACGCTGGGCCTGAGCGCTGTCCCCCAGATCTTCAGCTCAAGGCTAGCACTCTAACACTTGAGCCACAGCGCCACTTCCAGCTTTTTTCTTTTTGCTTATGTGATGCTGAGGAATCGAACCCAGGGCCTCATGCATGCAAGGTAAGCGCTCTACCACTGAGCCACCTTCCCAGCCCAACAATTTCTCTTAACATAACACTTCATACCCTACATTACATGAAATGCTAGTATCTATCAGGGACTGACAAAAGTATTAAGTAGTATAACAACTTTCAAAGTTTGTGAGCTGAGTTTAAAAAAAACGCACAATTTCATCTAAGATTTGTAAGAACAACATTTTTGAGTTATTTTTTCAAAAAATGATAAAGAATGCACACACAATATAAATATTATGTAGTTTTCTGTGTTGCTTTACATCTACAATCTGGATTGAAAAACTAGACATTTTAGTCCAGTCATCATACCTCTTTGCCTTTTGTATCTCCATTTTCTATCCATTCAACAGTTACACTTTCATTATCTTCATTTAAAGACGTTACCATTGCTTGGTGTATTCGCCCTAAGTGGGAATAAAACTTAAGGTTATAAAGCCATAAACTTTGTCCATGGGGTCATAAAATCAATTTGTAATTTGTCAAGTCTAGAGACTCAAAGTATGGATGAGAAAAAGTTTATTTCTAGAATATCTGATAAATGGTCACAGTGACACAGAATGCCTAAAACTGTATACTTTATATTAAACAGTTCTAACCATTAAAACTTTTCCTTATTATAAGTCAAAATTTGACTCCATCAAATTCATAAAAATATATTTTACTAATATAAAAATCATTTTAAATTATATATTGTGTAGATGGGAAAATTAGCTTTGAACAAAGAAAAGTAATCTGAGTCCACAAACACTAGACTAAAAATTATGATATGGTAAAACAGAGAAGTTTCAAGCCTGGATAACAAGGAGAATGATGGTACTACAGATATAACTAAAATTTACAAAGCTAGGCACTGGTGGCTTACACCTGTAGTCCTAACTACTCAGGAAGCTGAGATCTGAGGATAGTTGGTAAAAGCCAGTTTGGACAGAAAGGTCTATGAGACTTTTTTTTTGGGGGGGGGTCGGGGCGCAGTCAGTTGTGGGGCTTGAACTCTGGGCCTGGGCACTGTCTCTCAACTCTTCATCTCAAGGCTAGTGCTTTACCACTTGAGCTGCAGTGCCACTTCCGGTTTTCTGGAGATAAGAGTCTCACGGACTTTCCTACTGGGGCTAGCTTTGAACCTCGATCCTCAAATCTCAGCCTCCTGAGTAGCTAGGATTACAGGCGTGAGCCACAGGCACCCGGCTGGTCTATGAGACTTTTATCTCCAATAAACTACTCAGAAAAAGCCAGAAGTGGCACTGTGGCTCAAGTGGTAAAACACTAGCCTTGAGCATAAAGAGGCCCAGGGACAATAACCAGGCCCTGAGTTCAAGCCCCACACAGGTAACCCCACCACCACCAAAAAAAAGTCTCATAGATTCGTTTAAAAAATTCATTTTATTTCTTCTCTTACATTACAAACATGTTTAAGTTGATATTAGGTATGAATTTCACTTCAGGATAGTAAAGGGACAGATCTACAGTCATTACTATTTTAAAAAAGAACTGGATTTGAGAGGGTTGGAAATTTTTAGTTTAGAGGTTCAGAAATGTGAAAGCAGAACTTGGGGAGGGGAGGAGCCTTAACATTTTGTCAGGAGCAAACCAAGCCCTGTACCTGCACCCTTTTCTCTCCCGTAAGGCTCTGTGTCTTGGCCATAACCATCACTGTATGGACCCCTATAACCTTTTCAAGCAATAGTGGTTTTTCTCAGACTGAGATCTATAGACTCAAGAGAAGATATGGCTCTCCCTTGGAGATTCACCCAAGAGTTAAGATACACTGTATTTTTAGGAAACAAAAGTTTCAAAATTTACAAAAGAAACTATTTCTATGTTGTGGCTATGATTTTATATCCAAAGATTCTTTGCAGTCATATTAAAAGGGGAGAAGATAGAACGAGGAACAAGAAGAAAGGGAAGACCAACTCTGTAAACTAGTTTTTGTTTTTTTAATTAGTGAACTTCCTTTTATGACAGTCATAAAGAGAAGACTGAGTTGACAGTGGTGAATTCCTGGAAGGTAACCACAACCAATTCTAAATTTTATGCTATTAATTCCTGTCTTTTCTCCATCTCAAGTGAAAAATCCAGATTCATGTGGCCTCTCTGTCCCTGCTCTTCTGTTTCTGGCAAACTTCAAATCCAACTATGTAAGGAGGTTTTTCAAAGGAAAGACAATTTTGTCTTCCCTAAAGACAAATCATCCACTTGCTTTATGAGGCAGATAGCAGCCCCTAGCCACAATGTTCAGGCTGGGGCCTGCGCAGGCCTCAATTACAATGAGATAAGTTTATCCCAAGTCTCAGTTGTAAATAGCAAGCATGTACTAATGTAAATAAAACTAAGAGAACTAAAGCTCAAAACAAAGCAGAATTGGGAAGCCTGGCCAACATTCCCATGTGGCACTCAATACCATCTACTTTCTCTGGTCCATTTAAGAAAATTCTTGTGTTCTATCTTCATTCTGACTTCCCATTTATTTTATTGTGACTCATATATAACTCCACATTGAATGTGTTGGCATATGTATGCACGCACACACACACACATGCAAACACTGGTACATCCAACACCAACCAAGTTACAAAGAAAAAAAATGTTTTTTTCTTATTGAGGATGAGTTCTTGCTATGTTGTCTAGGCTGACCTGGAACCCTTAGACATAAGGGATCTTCCTGCCTCTGAATAGGACTATGGCAGAGTGTCACCACCCCAGCAGAAAGCAGTATTTCTGAAACCACTTGTGCCACCCCCCTTCTCTAACTAAATCTGTTTACCTATCCCCTCTCCTGAGGGGAGTACTACCCAGACATTCAAAATCACCACACTCAGGCTTTTCTTTGTATCACTTACAAATATAACACCCATAAAAATTTTATTTTTAAAGCTACATATAAACATATTAATGATACTTTAAGACATGATTCTTTTGCAATACTAATTTTCTGATTATAAGGTGTATATAATTGCTGCATACATATGTATATAAACTCATTTCCACTACTACAGCCTATTTTCTTTCCTAAATATGCCAAGATATTGCCCTTTCCCTCCTCAACCCCTTTTAACATGGTCCTAAAGAACCTTCAGACATCTTACCATATCACATAGAAGTACATAATTTCTTTCCTTAATTTTGAAACTTTTGCATTAAGAACAATGATGCAGCTAGCTGCCAGTGGCTCATACCTGTAATCCTAGCTACTTAGGAAGCTGAGATCTGAAGATCTTATCTCCAATAAACTATCAAACAACCAGAAATGCAGCTGTGGCTCAAGTGAAGAGTACTAGCCTTGAGTAAAGGAGGTCAGGGACAGAGCCCAAGCCCTTAGTTCAAGCATTCGTGTCAACACACACACACACACACACACACACACACACACAATGGAACTTACATCTGTATACTGACACAAATGTTAAAGAATTTCTCTGAACACACAGAAAAGAAATACAGACTAGATAAAAATTTTCCAGTGCCATGATGTTTCCTATGGTGGCAGTACTTGAAATGATTTGTAATCCCACAAGGAGTTACCTTACATCCACCATAATACTTAGTATTTGGCAGTATTAATGTCACATTGTGGTTTTGATTTCTTTGATTTAATGAAGGTGTGCCTATATTTTTGTCTATAAGCCAATCAGGCCTTTTGTGTGCTGTCATTTTCTTACTATTTCTTTGTAAAATTCTCTAATGTTCTTAATTTTTATGTACTGTATTTTTTGAAAGCTGTGGACTACCTTTTTATTCCTTATGGAGTCTTTGATGAACTTAAAGTACTTAAATATTTATTTTAAATTATTCCTTTTTTGTATAAGCCTTTACAAAAGCTATCATATTAATTTATCCATTAAGCATTTAGATATTTGTTCTTGGCAAGACAATTTCCTTTTCCTCCCTAGAAAAACAAATTGCTCAGTATCATTTCCTGATAAGTCCTTTCTTCACCTATGTAACTTCAATGTAACTTTAGTAGTACCTCCGTTATAATTCAGGTATACATACATAAGTCTGTGTCTTTGCCTTTTAATAAAAAGTAGTTATACTACTGCTTATAATAAGTCTAATGTCCAATTGAAAAGGCCCTCCTCACAGTTCTTTAAGAGTTTATTGGCCTTTTAGAATCAACTTGTCAAACTCTCCAAATTAAACAAATTAACAATACCAAACTGCTGAGAGCTTGCTTGAAATTGCATGGAATATTTTGTTTTAGATACTGGTCAGCAATTTTCCTTTCTTAGACAGCCTTTAGATTTTGATATGTTATGTAAACTAACTGCTTAATGGCAATTTTTTTTCTTTTGTAATCTTGAGCTTTTAGCTGCAACTTACAACTTAAAATATCTTGACCTGGAATATTATGTTAGAAGAAATTTCTTAGTAATTATAGAATATTGAGTATGTTGTTTTTCTAGAAATTGCACATTTTTTCTATAAAATTATTCATGTTGTCTATATGCCCATGGCATCAGTGATAGAAACTTTATCATTCCTAATTTTTAAACAGTATTTTCCTTGATCTTCTGAGATTTGTCCATTTTACATACTTTCAAAATACTTGTTATTAAATATTTATTCTGCTCTAACTTTTTCTTTTCTTTCAATTCATTTTGGGCATATTTGCTGAGGATTTCCCACAATTTTTAGGATGAATATCCCTTTCTTTCTTTCTCTCCTCCGTCTTTCTCCTTTCTTATTTCTTTTTTTCTTTCTCCCCCCTTTCTCTCTCTTTTTGTTGGTTGTGGAGCTTGAACTCTGGGCCTGGGTGCTGTTCCTCAGCTCTTCAGCTCAAGGCTAGCGCTGTACCACTTGAGCCACAGTGCCACTTCCAGTTTTCTGGTGGTTAATTGGAGTTAAGAGTCTCATGGACTTTCCTGCCCAGGCTGGCTTTGAACCACAATTCTCAGATGTTGGCCTCCTGAGTAGCTAGGTATTACAGGCATGAGTCACTGGTGCCCAGTTCTTAATTTTTTAAACCGAATGGTTATGTAGCTCAGATTGTCCTGGAACTGTCAAGGCTGGCCCTGAATTTGCAATCCTCATGTCTCCACCTCCCAAGCACTGATGTTACAGGTGTGCACCACCCTACCCTTCTCTTTCAACCTTTTGTCTTTTTTTTTCTCATTAAGCAATTAAAACCACTTTTTCTCCTGCTAAAGCAGTTCTTTAGCAACATCATATAAGTTCTTATATGTATTTTTATTTTTTGGGTCCAGTCGTGGGCTTGAACTCGGGGCCTGGGCATTGTCCCTCAGCTCTTCAGCTCAAGGCGAGTGCTTTACCACTTGAGCCATAGCGCCACTTCTGGCTTTTTTCTTCTTCTGCTTATGTGGTGCTGAGGAATCGAACCCAGGGCCTCAAGCATGCAGGGCAAGCACTCTACCATTGAGCCACCTTCCCAGCCCCTGTTTTTTTATTT